CGCTATGTTGCACATGTAGGAGCCTGCACGTGCTCTGAGAGACAACACAGGAAAAGAGAAGACAATGGCAGTAGAGGACAATGTGATGTCTGTCCAGTAGAGAAGGAGATAGGTTCACCAGCATCTTCAGAATAGCCATATTGACAAAGTTACTTTCAACCTGGATCCAAAGCTGGTGGGATGTCCGAGGACAGTGAGTGGGCCAGTATCGGGGATGCGCAGAGACCCTCCTGGCCACATGCCAGGATTTTATGCTGAGAAAAGTCAATAGAAGAGCCACATCCATTCCACAGAAACTCTGCATTTAAAACCATTCCTCTGAATTTTTTTTCCAAGCATTAGAAAGTTGTGGTCCTCACCGTTTTAAGGTGGCAGATGTACCACAGTAAGCCAAGGAAGCTTTACTCAGGCGAGGACAGGTGGTTCTCATGGGTCACCACCTGGATCGATGTAGACTACTTTCTGGAGCTATAACATAATGGGAAAGGTTTGTTTTCCTGATAAGACCCCTGCAACAAATAAGTAGATGATGACCAGTGCTACATCATAGAAGAGATGCAGCAATAGCAACCCAAGACAATAAAACATTTAAAAAGTAGGCTACAATGCTGATGAGATGGGCTTATGGGTACTGCACCAAGGGACAATAACACTGAAAGCCTTTGAGCTTTCAATGGGCGGGGCTCAGCCAGCTCTGAGGAAAGCTGGTCTAGTCCCTTGGTCTCTCCAAACTTCCCTTTCACTGCTTGTAAAACGGAGTTAAGAATCGTTGCCTACCTCACAGGCTGTGTGGAAAGCATGAGGAAATATCTGTGAAACACTTTGTAAATTACAAAGCATCAATAAAATGTTTTCTAACTGTACAATGGATGAATAAGTAAAATAAACATGTAGCACCTGAAATACAGCTGTTTGATAAATTTTAATTTTAGAAAGTGGGGAAATTATAACAAACACTACATATATATCCTTAACAATTTTTTTCCTTAAAATGTAGAAGGATTTTGGGGGAAATTGTTCAATAGCCAGATATCTTCAGAAAGTTGACCAAGAGACTTTGCTTCATTCATTTCTTCATTCAACAAAATTGCATTGAATGGTGTCTATGTGCTAACTGTATAAATTTATGAAAATAACATTCAAAATATTTATGGGATAATAAATATAGAACACTCAGTATAAAATAAAGAAAGAAAAGGCATTTATGAGGAATTAAATACCAAAGTTCTGTGTGAAACAAAATGGTAGACTGAGCATGTGCTTTTCTTCGTCCCTTCTAAGAACCCATTAAAATGAAAGCAAAGGATGTTTAAAGAACAAAAAGCCCGCAGAGGCAGAGACGGGACTCACATAGGAGCCCTCCCACATTAAGCTGAGACCTCTCAGGGCAGGAGCAGAGCAAGTCCGAATTGTTTTCCTTCCTAGGAGATCCTCATTGAAGGGAGTTCTTAGAAATAGACTTCATGTAGAAGGAAAGCGAATTCAGAAAGGCCTAAAAAATGCAGCAAGGACTGGAAGACAAAGGAAGTGGTGAATGAGTGGGCAGATTTCAATGAGTCTCAGTTATATAAAACGATAGCTAAAATGTCTCAGAGTAAAGAGTGATGATAGCAAGTGTTGCCAAGGACGAGAGCCACTGGGGCTGTCACAGTCCTGGTGAGAGTGTGACTCGATCTAACTGTCTCAGAAGAGGTGAGCACACGCACACTCCGTGATGTGTACACACACACACACACACACGCACACACAAGTTCATAACAGCCTTGTTCATAACACCCCACAACCTGAAACAAGCCGAATGTTCATCAATAGGATTGCAGATACACCGTGCTATAGTCACTCAGTGGAATACTACAGCAATAAAAATGAGTGAGTTGCTGTCACATATAAAATATGAATCTCCCAAACATATATTAAGTTAAAGAAATTAAATGTAAAAGAATACATACTAGATAATTCCTTTTAGATAAAGTGAAACTAATCTACAGAGTTAGAAGTCAGGATGGGAGCTCCCAGGGAGGGAAGAAGGGTGATGGGCAGAGCTGGCCCAGGAAGGTGTCTCGCCGTCTTGGGACAACGTTTCTTTTTTTGACCTGGGCTGTGGTTGCTAGGATGTGTTCACTTCGTGGTAATCCATTATTCGTGGTAATTCTATATATTCGCTGTATATTTGTGCTTTGTGTGCTTCTCTGTACATGGGACTTGGGAACGGGGGCGCTGCTCTGGCCTCTAGCCTCAAGCCACACTCCCCAACCCAAGATAGCTAAGAGAGGTCAGATTTTATGCTTTGTGACAGAGCAGAATCTGTTCTGCACCCAAGGTCTCCAGTTATTGAATCCTAAAATCTCTCCCCTGGGCTTCCCTGTACTGCCAGCTATTTACAGCGCTTCTGGCCGTGACTAACCAAGACTACCAGCATCTGTGTGACAGGCACATATGGTAATGAACTACATAAAATCGCACAAAAGCACCAGAAATAAAAAAGACATTTTCTAATAAAGTTATAATTTAGATCCCTATTCATTAAAAGAAACTCTTTAAAGAGACATTCATACAATAAATGTTCTAAAAGAGAATTTATAAGCTGATTGAAATATAGGATGACTTCACAAATAACTTGTGAATCAGATTGCCACATGACCTAGTTCTATTCTCATTTCATGAGTAGAAAAACTGAGGGCAGAAAAACCAGGGCCTAGATGCTACTCACAAGTCACTGGCAACAAAGTGTCATCCATACCCCCAGTCAAATTGTCACAGCGGAAGCCCCCATCATCTGGGAGCCCAAAGAACACCACAGTGGTCCCAGGTGGAGGGTCACAGTCCTCCATCTAGAGGAGCTGTGATACCACAGGGCTGGGTGAGCTGGCTTGAGGTTTTCTTCTCCAGAACACACTGTTTGCAACACCAACATGTTTTGTTGTGTTATAGGTGACTTTGTCCCTTTCCAGAGATACATGAAAATGCTCGTACTTCACAACCAGAAGCCTCAGGAAAGCAGCATGCATACCTTAGATCCTGCTGGTTTCCCACCTGCTACGAGACCCTGTGGCCTCTGGGAACGAGGGGACCCGGTGGAGGGTAGGCAAGCCCAGAGAGGAAGTGCAATTATCCTCTGCACCCTCAATTTTCTGCCAGAGTCCAGAATCCAAGAAGGCAGGAAGACTCAGGACTTACTAAACCCAAGTTCAAATCCTGACCCTGTCACTCACTAGCTGGCGATGGGCAAGTTACTTCTCTGATATGCAGTTTTCTCACTCATAATAATGGGGTAGTACTTAGTTTAGAGAATTGTTATGGGTACTGCTTTTATCTGAAATACCTAGAGCTTGGCTCATAGCAGAAACTCAATCAAAGCTGATCTTTCCCCTGCATGCTGATGACAAAGTAAGCAAACAGACAACCAACCAGCATTTCTGAGAGCCAGAACCTCCCTTGGAGGGTCTTTCCAAGCTCAGACTGCTCCCCTGCCAACCTGTCCCACATTCCGCACGTGATTTCTGCCAGCCCTGCCTGCTCTCTACCCTGAAATTACAAGAACTTTCTGTAGTTCTGGAAATATTCTGCATCCGCACTGTCCAATAGCCACATGGGGCTACTGAGCACTGGAAATACAGCTAGAGCCACAGAAGAACTGAATTTTTAACTTAATGCTAAGTCATTTGAATATAACCAGCCACCTAGGACCTGTACTGGATCTCAGCCTTAGAAACTTGGGCTTAGACCTGCACAGTTCATCACAAGGGTCAGACTAATCCAAGCAAGGGCAGAGCGTTAGTTCAATTAATCAGCTCAAGGACTGCTGGTGGGATCACAGGCGTGGTATCCAGAGTGATGAACATGCAAAATGCCAATGCCTTGGCTGGAATTATGGAGTTAAGACACATATTTGTTTTTACACTTTATAAAGCAAGCAACCCTGGCTGCGCATAAGCCCAAGTACCAGCTGAGCCCTTTTTCATCTGTTGGGTGATTATGTCTAAACCATTTTTGTCTCTTTATTTGTTGTTTCATACTTGCCCCCTCACACACACACACACACTCCATGGGTAAAACCCTACACGATTAGGACTCGGAGGTTCCAGCCTCCCCCACCTGCTCCTTAACTGGTGGCCAGGTTATCAAGAGCTCCAGCTCCGAGATGCTGAAACACAGAACCACGCTCATCATCACAGCATTCAGGGGAAGTCTTGTTGTCCCACCTCCTTCTTCAGACCCAGAGCCTGGGTGGTCTTCCAGGGCTGGCCCAGGGCAGGATTTGCTTCTTGGGGACTAGAGACATTACAAGATTTTATTTTCTTTAAAAGCAGCTGGTTATTGGCTACAAAGCAGAAGGCTCCACTCCAAGTCAGTTCATTTGGCAGATCTTTTTGAGAGCTGAGCATGTGTGGGTGCTGTTCCTGGCACTGACGTCTTGGACAAGCCCCACACATATGGGGTCTCTGCCTTCATGAACCTTTGTTCTGGGGGGCAGGGGGAGGACAGACAACAAACAAGTAAATGAACAAATAATCAAGTCAAGGTAGTGATTCGAGTTAGAATGAAAAATAAAGCAGGGCAGGGAGACAGAGAATGTGAGGGGCGGGTATTATTCAGCTTGGGCTGTCTAAAGCACCAGATTGGGTGCTTAGCCAACAGACATGTAGTGTCTCACAGTCTGGAGGCTGGAAGTCTGAGATCAAGGCACAGGCAGGGCTGGTGTCCTCCAAGGCCTCTCTCCTCGGCTTGCAGACAGCCCTGCTCTTGCTGCCTCTGTACCTCATTGTCCCTGTGCCACCTCCTCTTCTCAAAGGAACACTAGTCATACTGGATTTCAACTTAATCACCCCTTTAAAGACATCATCTCCAAATACAGTCACATTCTGAGGTGCTGGGGGTTGGGACTTCAACATAAGAATTTGGTGTGGGGGTGGGTGGGCAAAACTCAACCTATAACAGGTAATTTTACACAGTACGTATTTTAGGAAATGTAAACCTAAAGGAAGAAACTGAGGCAAAAATACATAAAACTGAGTTTATTTGGTCCAAGGTTTAGGACTGTAGCCTGGGAAACACAAACCCAAATTGCCTTGGATATGTGCTCCACCTGGCAGCAGGTACACACGGGTTTTTAAAGGAAAGAGGAGAATCTTAAAGGGGCAGTTCCAAAGTTGTTTGCCAGAAATTTACATCAGTTCACTAGAATAACATGAGCTGCTGATTGGCTTTACATTGCTCTTTGTGTCATAAAGTCCAGGAAAGTCAAAGAAAAAGGGTTATATTGTACAACCTGTGATAATATTTTGGGTAATTTACAATCGTTGGTAGTGGCAGCTGGCCTGGAATATGCTGAAACATACCTTTTTGCATTATCCCGGACATGGGTGAGGGGGATGTGGCTGGAGTTCCATGCTTATGTCTCTGGGCCTGATAAATTAAGCAGATCTTGCACAACTCAGATGGGCTCTGAGTTACTTTGCTTTCTCAATCGTATGAGGAAAGGAGAGGGAGATCAGTTTGCTGTGGACCTGGGAATAGGAGAAGTCAAGCTAACTTCTGGTCTTTACTTCCTGGGGGCAACTTAAGAACAGAGTTGTAAAAGTAGTAAGCCAAGCACTTGCTTGTGGAGTATGTGAGCCATGTCCCAGAGGCCAATTTGCTTTGCCATCTTTGTGCGGGATGGGGGAGCAGTAAGTCATTTCCCTCTGCTGTGGACAGAAAAGACTGGAAGGTTTCTTCCTCACCATCAGAGGATACTCAAAGGGCACAGTTTCCTGCATCTTTGTAGCTTGAAGGCCTAAAGAAACAGGAGTGGCTCTGAGCAGTGTTTCCCTTTGGTTAAGTTTTCTTATAAAATTGTTGCCTTTTTAGTAGCCAGCACTAGAAGTTTAAGAAGGGGAACTTCCATACACACCAGAAAAAGACCCAGAATACTGCTGTAAGGTTCAGATAGGCACAGAGAAGGAGCACTGAGAGAGCTGTTCTTTGCTAAAGCAGGGTCACCAAGATGCCAAAGACTACGTGCTAGAGGCAGACACCGCAGGGTGGGACCCAGTAGTGCCCAAAGTATCCCCTCAAGCACCAAGAACAGCTGCCCAAAGTAAATGCCCTGGTGAAAATTCCCCCCAACCAAGAGAAAGTGGGGAGTCAGACCCATTGTTTTTACCCGTTTGAGAAAGAGCCTGTTCCCTGAGTGACTGCGTAGCAGTGTTCATTCATTTTGCTGGAAACTCCAAAACCCTGGGTGGACCTATAGCCATCCTCACATCCCTACTGGAGGATGTGGCAGGAAATACAAAAACTGTTCAAAATTTACCACCTGCAGTAGAAACTGTTGTGTTCATCAACACCATGGCCTTTTCCTCCTGGGCACAGAGTGAGCCGACGCTTCCCATCCTCCTCTGCACAGGGGAGCACGTCTCTGTCTGGCAATGGGGTGAGGACAGGATTGATGCACAATGCCGCTAGGCCTAGGCTTCCGTGGTTCTGCTTCCTGATTCTTCACCTTGGGTAGTCTCCTCCCATAGCAATTCCGGGTTTGACCATGTTATTTGTTTTGGCTGATGGGATAATAGTAAATGTGTCAGAAACAGAAATTTGAAAGAGTTTTCAAGTTTTTCCCCAGGGGCTTGCCTTCTCTTGTGGCTGGGAACCCTTCTCCGCTGTGTGAACCAGCCCAGGTCAGGGATGGTCTTGCTCACATATGCAGAAGCCCAGCCTTCCCTGCTGCAGCCCTGGATATGTGAGCAGGACCATCCTAGTCCAGCCAGCTCCAGCTCCACCAGCCCAGACCAGGACAACCACCCAGCAAGTCCACAAGATTGCAAGAAACAATAAATGTTCACTGTAGTAAGTGCTAAGTTTGGGGTGGTTTATTGAACAGCAAAATCTGATACAGCCAAAAACTCTCCTGCACAATCCTCCACATTTGCTCTTTCCCCACCTGCCAGCTGCAAGGAAAGGACTCTGAGGACCTAGAAGAGGGAGGAGCTAAAAACCTGAAGGAGCCCAGTCCCCTAGGAGCAGCGTCCCCTCCCCCAGCCTACACAGGAATGTAACGGTAGCAAGAAATAAATTTGCATTATGTCAAGGCCCTGAAATTTGAGGATTCTTTGTTATGGCAGTCAGTGTACTTTGACTAACATACCACCCACCTCGCAGAAGCTGAAATCTGCCAACACACTTGTGGATCCACACTTGCAGTTCTCCCAGACTGCAGGCCACTGATAGCCATCAAGGGAGAATCCTGAACCTCAGGACTCCAACTCTGAGTAGCCTCTGTGTAACTCTTGTCCACTTGTCCATTCATTCAATAAATATTAATTACCAATAAGTGCCCATCACACTGTGCCAGCAGCCAAGACTAGCATGGTCCCTGTCCTTGAGGCACGTACAGTGTAGTAGGGGACTAAGGGTGGTGGACAGTCACTAAACAAACAATCCCAGTAAGCTCAGTTGGTTAGAGCACAGCCTTATAACACCAAGGTCACAGGTTCAGATCCCTGTACAGGCCAGCTGCCAAAAAAACACCCACTGAAGGCTCCAGGAGGAGGAGAAAGCCATATCCATTGTGCACACAATTGAATCCCCAGCCCCCCACCCAGTTTGTGACACAAAGTAAGGGTCAATAGATTGTCACTGAATTAATAAAGACAAATCACTATTTAATTACAAATTATAATACATACTTTGAAGGACAGTGTAGGGAGCCAGGAAAGAGCATAGAAGGGGGATCAGAGAAGGTATCTCTTAGGAAGTAATACTTAAACATTGTGCACACAATTGAATCCCCAGCCCCCCACCCAGTTTGTGACACAAAGTAAGGGTCAATAGATTGTCACTGAATTAATAAAGACAAATCACTATTTAATTACAAATCATAATACATACTTTGAAGGACAGTGTAGGGAGCCAGGAAAGAGCATAGAAGGGGGATCAGAGAAGGTATCTCTAAGGAAGTAATACTTAAGCTGAGACCTGAAGGAGAGAAGGAGAATGGCAGGGAGTTAAGTGAACAGTGGAGTAAGAGAGGGTCCCAGGCAAAGGACGATGCTTAAGCAAAGGCCCTAAGTGGTAAAGAGCTTGCTGCTGAGTTACAGGAACCAGAAGAGCAGCAAGGCCAGATTATAACGAGTGAAAGGAAAGGGTTAGATGGCAAGAGAAGTAGACAGGATCTATTACACAGGGCTTGTAGGTCAGGTTAGATTATTTTAACAGCTTTATTGAGGTATAATATACACACTAAACAGACTAAGTTCAATGAGTTTTGATAAATGTAAGCTGTCATACAATCGCCAACACAATCAAGTTTTAGAAATCTTTCATTACCCCCAAATTTCCTTCATGCTTCCTTGCATTCAGTCCAGACCTTTGCCCCACTCCAGGCAAACACTGGTCTGCTTTCTGCTTCTATAGGACACTTAGGTTGATTGCCTATCTTGGCTATTGTGAATAATTCTGCAGTGAACATGGGAGTGCAGATACCACCCTGACATACTGATTTCATTTCCTTTGGATACATGACAAAGAGGGCCCCACTAAGGAAATGCCTAAGGAGCCATTGAACGAGGCCACTGCAGAGAACCTCCCTAGGGCAGCATCTGGTGGAGCTGTGGGAGCAGGGCTACCCCCAAGACCCCAAAACAGTTGCCACAGCATGCAACTGCAGCCCAGGAGAGCTGTACTGTGGGTCTGTGTCCAGCGAAGCCATGGGGGCAGGGCTGCCCAAAACATCAAGTCAAAGAAGATCATTGTCAAGCCTAAAGATTTTTTTTTTAATTTTTATTGGATCAAAATTGATTATACATATTTTGGGGGTTCAACACTGAGATATGTTGATCAAATCAATATTACTAACAGAGGCATAATCAGGTCCCCCCATACTATCGTAGAGCAGATGTCTCTTCCGTCACTATGAAATGGGCTCTGTGGAGACAGACATCCTCCTCCTTTCTTTATCTCTGCTAGTGACTCTCCTTGTGTCAACTCACTCCAGTGGCTGGTGGACCATCTGTGTGGTAGTTGTGGCATCTAGCCGCCTTCACGGCAGCCATGGTTATCGTGGTAGCTGTGGTGCACCACCCACATGGAAGGGATGTTTTTGGCCTGCTCCATGGTGCTGGCAGTGTGCCTGGTTGTGGAGAGTGTCCGATCCCCAGTTCCATGCCCTGGGTCCCCAAGTGGGTTCTGAGGTGCTGGCACAGTGTGCCTGGTTGTGGGAGGGGGGTCCAGTCCCCGGCTCCTTACCCTGGGTCCCTAGGCATGCCCCAAGACACTGGCATAATGCGCCTGGTTGTGGGAGGGGGGAACCAGTCCCCTTCTCCATGCCCCAGGTGCCAGGGCAGGCCCCAAGGTGTTGGCACGGGGTGCCTAGTTGTGGGAGGAGGCCTAGTCCCCAGATCCATACCCCAGGTCCCTATGTTGGCCCCAGGGCGTCAAGCCTTAAGATTTAAGGTTGTTTGTCCTATTGGGTTTTGGACATATTTGGGACCAGTTACCCTCTTCTTCTCCCTTCTGGAATGGAAATGTCTGTCCTGTGCCTGCCCCACCATTGTATTTTGGAATCACATAACTTGTTTGATTTCACAGGTTCACAGCTGGAGAGAAGTTCACCTCAGGATGAATCATACCTTGAGTCTCACCCATTTTTGAACAGATGATATTTAGATGAGACTTTGGACTTTAGACTTTTGATTTGAGGCTGAAATGCGTTAAGACTTTGGGGTCTACTGGGATGGAATGAATGTATTTCGCATGTGAAAAGGACATGAACATTGGGGAGCCAGGGGCAGAATGCTGTGGTCTGAATGTTTGTCTCCTCCCAAATTCACATGTTGAAATTTAATCTCCAATGCAATAGGCTTAAAAGGCGGGGCCTTCGGCAGGTCCTCCTGAATGGGATTAGTGCCCTTATGAAAGAGCCCAAGGGAGTTTCTTCACCCCCTTCCATCATGTGAGGACCCATAGCCAGCACCATCTGTGAGGCACAGGCCCACACCAAACACTGCATCTGCTGGTGCCCTGATCTTGAACTTCCCAGCTTCATGAGCTGTGGAGCAAGAAATTTTTATCGTTTATAAACTACCCAGTCTAAGGTATTTTGTTATTGCAGCCCAAATGAACTAAAATAGCATATTAACTCCTTATTAGATGTATGGGTTACAAATATTTTCTCTCCCATTCTGTAAGCTGTCTCTTCACTCTGTTGTTTCCTTTGCTGTGCAGCAGCTTTTTAGTTTGAGATAATGCCATTTGCCCATTTTGGCTTTTGTTGCCCATGCTTTGGAAGTCGCATCCAAAAAATCATTGTCTAAGCCAATGTTATAAAACTTTTCCTGTGTATTTTCTTCGAGTAATTTTATAGTTTCACGTCTTACATTGAAGTCTTTAATCCGTTTTGAGTTGATTTTTGTATATGGTGTGAAATATCTAATTTCATTCTTCTGCATGTGGAAATCCAGTTTTCCCAACACCACTTTGTTTGTTTTGTTTTTTGGTTTTTGTTTTGGGTACATATTCTCTTTTATTGTTCCTTAGTATTTTCTTTTAATTAAAAATATTTTTAATTTTATTTAATAATATAGAAACGTATTTTGATGAGTTCTTGAAAACAAAAATGTTTTTAATATCAGAAAATTCAAAACTGATGCAGAAAATAAAGTAAGGAAAAAAACTTAGAATATATGAGTAACGAGTTTTATGCTTGATTTCAATCTCGCATAACAAAGACTGTCAAAGAAAATGAATGGTAGTTACATATTTAACGAATTATGCAATATACATAAAGATTACTATACCCTAAAATAATTATGTAAAGTTAATGTTTGATTAAAATATTTACATCGATGATGCTTTGTAGACTGCTTAAGTCTTTTTTTTTTTTTGATCTTTAAAATGATAAACAAAATTTGCAAACCTTTATCTAGACTGACCAAGAAAAAAGGAGAGAAGACAGAAATTACTAAAATCAGAAATAAAGCAGGGGCATGGTAGAGCAGTTGCTGCTTCTATTATGTTGGAGTGGGCTTCGACGAGAGACATCCTCTTCTTTTTCCAGTTTCCACTGGTGACTCTCTTTGTGTCATTGCAGTCAGGTATCTGGTGGGCTGCCTGCACGGTAGCCGTGGCTACTGCTGTGGCATTGAGCCACTTTTGTGGCAGCTGTGGCTATGGCAGTGGCTGTGGTGGGCCTCCCATGAGGAAGTGGTGTTTTTGGCATGCAATATGTCTATTTCATGGAGGAGGGGGCTGCCCTTGGCTCCTGCCTAAGGACCCCGGGTGTGCTCTGATTCTTGCCTTTATCCCCTGACACCATTTATTGACAAGACTATCCTGTCCCCATTGTGTGTTCTTGTCATCTTTGCTGAAAATAAATGTGTGGATTTACTTCTGGGCTCTCTATTCTGTTTCAATATCCCCAATGAACATAGATGCAAAAATTCTCAACAAAATGCTAGCAAACCAAATTCAACAGCACATTAAAAGGATCACTCACCATGATCAAGTGAGATTTATCCCTGGAATGCAAGGATGGTGTGACATGTGCAAATCAGTAAATATGATACATCATATTAACAGAATGAATGACAAAAATCATATGACCATCTCAATAGATGCAGAAAAAGCATTTGACAAAATTCAACATCCTTTCATGGTTAAAAACACTCAACAAATTGACTATAGAAGGTGATATGGATTGAATTGTGTCCCCCAAGTTTTATGTATTGGAAGCTTGATCCCCACTGTAATTGTTAAGAGGATTGTTAAGAGGGTGGGAAATCCGATTATGGTAAATTAAAGGTGGGGCTTTGAAAAGGGAATTAGATTGTAGGACCATGCCCTAATGAATGGATTAACAATGGTGGTCATGGGCATGGTTCTGAGGGCTTTAAAGGAGAGCACAGGAGAGTCTCTCTCTTTCTCTCCTCTGCCATTCTTACCATGTGAGACCCTGCATTGCCAAAGTTACCACCAAAGAAGGCCCTTACCATAGGTATTCCCTGGACTTTGGACTTCCTAGCCTCCAGGAAAGGAAGGCTTTCCTGTGAGCAATAAATTTTATTTTCTTTTAATTTACCTAATTCCAGATATTTTGCTATAAGCAACAGAAACAGACTAATACAGGGGGAATGTACCACAACAAAAGCCATATACAACAAGCCCACAGCTAACATCATACTCTACAGTGGAAAGTTGAAAGCTTTCCCTCTCAGATCAGGAACATGACAAGGATGCCTACTCTCACCACTTCTGTTCAACATAGTACTGGAAGTCCTAGCCTGAGCAATTAGGCAAGAAAAATAAACAAAAGGCATCAGAAAGGAAGAAGTTATATTATCTCTGTTTGCAAATGATGTGATCTTCTACATAGAAAACCTTAATGACTCTGCCAAAAAACTGTTAGAACCCAATCAAAATATTAAATAAACTAGC